CGCCCTAGAGCAGGATGTGACCATGAACTACAGCCGGCCAGACTGGTCTATTTTTATGACCCAAGCGGAGAGACATGGAGATTAATCAGCTAGCCCACGGGGGACAAGCTAAGTTGGGTTTTAAATTCTTTGGTGCCCGTAATAACTCAGGTGAGTCTCTTTGTTCTTGTGAACTGTAATTTTTCATCTGACAGGCAGCGTCCCTTGAACGCAACAGCCAAACAGCCATGTCCAAACACACCCCGTACCCGGGAAGCGAGACCAAGCTAACCCAGCTGCCTCTTTGCTCCAGTTCACAAATGAAAATTTTCCCCCAGCGCAGGAGACTCCAGCAGCAGTTTGGCTGAACGTCGCTGCTCCGCGCCCGGCGCCGCGCCAGGCGCCTCGGCTGCCTGCATGCTTAATGCCGGGGACAAACGAAGCCGTTTCATCGATCCCTCCCGTGCGCCTACATGTGGGGCGGCTGGCTGCCTCCTCCCGGCCTCAGGACGGTGCGGGGCAGCACTCCCCTCTCCCCCCGTGCCCAACAACAGCCCAGGCATCGTGGGACGGGACGTGGGCTGGCACGGCCCAGTCCCCATCCCGGGAGGTGTCGGGCTGTGCGGCTCACACCGGTCTCCTTGGCTTTCCAGATGCAGGCGATCGGGTTCCCCGCTGGGATTATGAAGCGTAGTGTTACCGCTGCCAGGAGTGAGGACTCAGTTTTCTTTTTTTCCTGCTTGCCCTGCTCCCCTTCCCCCCGGCACCAGGAGGCAGAAGGATGTGTCAGCTCAAAGCTGAGTCTAAAGAGGCTTATGCTGACTATTTACCTTTGCAAGGGTCTATTTTTGGCTGCTCAGCTGCAGCTAATTCAATGAACAGGGCAGCGATTCAGGAGAGAAGCCACATGAGGGTCATTGTTTCTATTCACTTTACTACTTTGCAGGGGCCAGAAGCCTTGCTTCTTTTTTGTTCCTTGTTTTTTTTGAGATGGCAAAGAGTGTCACAAAGGAAAAGGGGATCTTGGGGACAGGTCAGAAGGACGGCAGAAACCCGCTGCCCTGTCCAATGCTTGACTTGTTGCCTTTCTTTCACTACAGAGGAATCCCAAGGTTGCTCCTGACCCTACCCCAGCTGCTGCCAGAGGGCTCCAGGTTGGCTCCACACACCCTCCTGTCCCCGCACCTTCCACCCAAAACAAGCTCGGAAGTTTGTGGGTAGCCAGTGTGAATTTAATAATGGCATTGGGAGTTAATGGACAGGCTGAGACCAGAATCAAATCACCCGGGACGTGACCGCTGCTGATAAACAGGGAGCAGCCGGGTTATCAGCTCTGTCTCTTTATTTCTCTGACTATTGCAAAGTGGAGTTCAGTGTATGACAGGAGCTCGGTGAGCTCCTGATGGTGAGCACAAGGGCTGCTGCTATAGAACCATAGAATAGAATCACAGAACAGTTTGGGTTGGAAGGGACCTCTAAAGGTCATCTCGTCCAGCCCCCCTGCCGTGGGCAGGGACATCTTCAACTAGACCAGGTTGCTCAGAGCCCCGTCCAACCTGACCTGGAATGTTTCCAGGGATGGG